TGCGGCAAGCCTCTGAGCAACAATTTAAAAACTTAATTTAAAAGTAAATTACTAATACGCTGAACTAGATTATATGGGAATCATAAAACTCAATTCAGTCTTTAATCAACTCAGCACGGAGCAGCCCAAAAGCATAGCGCCAGGCCACACCTGCTCATGGCCGAGGCGGCCCAGGCGGTTCTTCACTTAAAAGCCCAATAGCAGCCAAAAAAGGAAAACCCTAATGCCAAACGATCTCAACCGTCGATCTTAAACTGATGGCTATGATTCATCCTGAGCTCATATAAAATATTAGATAAAAAACCGTGGCCCTCACTCACTCATCTCACTTTCTTCTCCCCTGCTTCAGCCGCATATGAAAACACCGCACAAGCAAGATCGCCGTTCCTCAGCTCACTCATCCCCAAAGCCATCGGCATCGGTCGGTCCTCTAGCCGGCGCGCGCGTGTGGCTAGGCCGCGCGCGGCTCCGTCTAGGAGACCCGGCGGGTGCCCATACGGAAACGCCCTGGGTCAAAAATGGCGGCGGCGCCCGCAGTGGCAGGCTCAAGTGCGCGCGCGGCGGCGGCCCCCTCAAGTGCGCGTGGCGGCGGCCCGCCCTCAAGTGCGCGCGGTGGTGGCCCCTGTGCGTGCAGTCCACGCGCGAAGCGCTCATCATGCTTTGGCGCTGGTGGCGGCCGGCGGCGGCGGCAAGACGCTGGCGCGGCGGACGCTCGACATCTCGAGCCGCGCGGCGGTGTCTCGTCTTAGGCCCGCCCGTCGGCGGTCGGCTGCTGCGACCTGATGCGCGCGGCCCATCCGGCCTCGGCGGCGGCGGGCGCTCATGGCCTCGCGCGGCGACGGCGGCCCATCCGAGCACGCGCGCGCAGCCGGCAGCGGTGTCGAGCCCGCGCGGTGAGTCCATGCCGCGTGGCCCAGTGGTGGCGGCGGTGGAGACCCAGCCTAAGGCGCCGGGTACGAGCCTCGGGCTCGCTCGGCTGCTGCGCAGCACAGCCGGCACGGCGGCGGCGACCCGGCCTATGGCCACCGGGTACGAGCCGTCCGCTCGCGTGCGGCTGTGGTGCAGTGCAACCTGCATCGGTGACCCGATCTATAATCCAGGTACGAGCCACGCAGGATCTGATGCTTAGGGTTAGGGTTGAGGATTTATGGGACTTTTCTCGTGATTTGCCCAATTCATCTTCTTCAGGCCTCGTTCGATTCTCACGGATCGGCCGGAAAGAGGTCCATTCCACCCGGATTGGGCTAGCACGGGATGAATACCAGTCCAGCACGGAACAGGCGTTCGGTTAAGGCTAGCCTAGATTCCAATCCCGCCCGTTTTGATAATTTGACGCCTCTCTATAGCCTGGAACTGATCCTCACCTATGACCCGCAGGAACGAATCCCTCTGGAATCTGGGTCCAGGAATGAAAAGTGGGCCGGATTCAAGCCTGAGCTGCCGAACGAGGCCTAAGGCTTATGAGGGTCCTAATTTGATGAAAACATCACTGATCTCTTGAAAATTGACATAATCTGTGACTAATTGTGATGAACATTAAACCCTAACCCTCTAAATTCTTAGTCTAATCATGAACTTATCCTCAGATCGCATCTAATAAGGTCTAAAGAAACTTACTGATAGCATAAAAACAGATCTAATTCGGCACTTAGATTACTAATCAAGCATGAACAGTGTTAACATGCATGATCGATCTTAACAGAAGCTAATAGCATCTAATAAAACTTTAGCCGAGACTAATCTAATCTAACCAACATGACAGGGAAAAAAAAACAGATTAAATTCTGGCTTAGGATCACGTTAGGTTTAAGCAGGCTCTTGATAGCTATTGTTGAATTAAAATTTAGACTAACATGATCTTATTTTAGCCTAAACATGATCAATAACTAAATCTTATGTGGAAATTAGATCTTAGTGACTAACCAGAGTGGGAGATGTCATCTGTTCCTTTGGAGACGTTAGATGCCATCTGTTCCTTTGGATATGTGATGGAGCTAACGTAGATGAAGTAGGTGTACTGATCTTCACCCATCGAGAGTTAGAACTCACTGTGATGAAGAGCTTGGTGTAGATCTGTAGCAACAGTACGTGGACGTGGGAGATCGTCTTCCTAAACCCTCAAGCTCCTTAGTGACCGGTTATGTGATTTGTTTCACTAACCTTAGAAGATCTAAGGGTTGTCGCCGATCACGGCAGATCTTATTTAGTTGAAAATAAATGACAGGTGGACAAAAAACTTAACGCTTAAAAATCTCGGGGTTAGCCGAACCGATCACGTTCCAACAGTTTTGAGTTTTTGTGCTAGTTTGATTAGATTTGTAGAAAATACGTGTAATATTTTTATCTTCAAACAAATTTATTATAAAAATAGATTCAACGATGATATTAATTATGTATCATAAATAAATATTAATATTTTTTGATATAAAATTACTCAAAGTTATTAATATTTTTTGATATAAAATTAGTCAAACTTATTTCTTGGAAGCGAGGCCGACAGTTATGTCAGGGCTGGGGAGGATTCTCTACGCATCAGTATACATTCAGCAATACGTACAACGTTACAAGCATGTACAGCATTTGGAATCCTCGCGAAAAGAAAAACGTACGACATTTGGAAGCGTCGTAGAACAAGAGCAGCAGGAGAACTACTCAACAGCCATTCCAAACGTGATGGGTATCCAGAACAAACTATCGAAACAGCCAGCACGCCTATGAATCAATGAACTCAACTGCTACCTCCGTCTAAAAAAAATATATAAATCTCGTTCACAAGAAGTCAAGAAATCTCATGATCAAGTTTATAGAAAAAATATAAATAATTATATTTTGAAATATGTTTATTATAAAACTATATTCTATACTTAGTCTAATTATATTTTTGCGTGTCATAATATTAGAATAATTTTATATGTATATTTGATCAAAGTTGATATTGTTTTGGAAAAAGTGATCAGAGGGAGTAGGCAGAAGCAGAATTCCCTCTAAAGATTCCCAAAGGTCTGGATTGGGCAATCCATCTATCTGTCCATTCGTAAGCCTCGTAGAACACGACGAACAGGGAGTAGGCAGGAGCAGGATTGCCTCAAAAGATCCCCAAAGCCCTAGATTGGTCAATCCATCTACCTGCCCATTATGCGTTAGACGAGAGGGAGTAGGAGGAGCAGGATTCCCTCAAAAGATCCCCAAAGTCCTGGATTGGGCAATCCATCTACTTGCCCATTCGTAAGCGTCAGACGAGAGGGAGTAGGCAGATGCGCAGGATTCCCTCAACCACCTGCCCATTCTTATGCGTCAGATGAGGGAGTACTAGGCAGGAGTAGTTTTCCCTCAAAAGATCCTCAAAGCCATGGATTGGGCAATCCATCTACTTGCCCATTCGGAAGCGTCAGACGAGAGGGAGTAGGCAGGTGCAGGACTCCCTCGACTACCTGCCCATTCGTAAGCGTCAGACGAGAGGGAGTAGGTAGGTGCAGGATTCCCTCAAAAGATCCCCAAAGCCCTGGATTGGGCAATCCATCTAGAGTGTGTTTGGTTCCATGAATATCCATGGATGCATGATGTTTGGTTGGATCGACAAGCTGAACCTGGATATCCATAACAGGGAATATTCTGGGTAGATGCTGGATATCCTAGCCCTAAAAAATCTGGCAGATGAGGATATCCACATGTTGATTAGCGTATGTTTTATGTGACAATTAGAGTAGTATAGTGCAAATTAATATATTTTATTTTTAATTAGTGATTATTATGACAAGATTAGTGTCAGTGCATATTTATTAGGATATAATTAGTTGTTATTATTTTTAAATAATAGATATAATTAGTCAAGAATTCTCATCCCGTGCAATCTCATCCATCCAACCAAACAGAAAAATGGCTCGCCCCATCCATCCAACCAAACAGACAACATGGATATCCATATCTCGAAATCCATGGATGGCCATATCTCATCCACCCTTGTCCTCAAACCAAACACACCCCTATTCGCACGGATAGCCCAGGTTTGCTATTACTCTCTCCGTCCAAGAAAACATGCAATTCTACCATAGTGTCACGTTTTAGTATCTTAAGTTTGACCAATTATAGATAAAAAATATTAATATTTACGATATCAAATAAATATTATTAGATTAAATATGAAATATATTTTCATATTAAATTGATTTGGAGCCATAAATATGAACACTATTCACTAAAAACTTGGTCAAGCGTGAACTAATTTTTCTAGCACGCAACCCATAGTTGCATGTTTTTATGGACAAAGGAGTACGACGCACCTAGCGCCCGGACGTCCGACTCGAGCACGTGTCCGTATGCACCTCGGGGCCGTCCGATTGTCGTAACAGGAGCCATCCGATCCCGACCAATCCGCGTAATGATTCAATTCACAAACATTACGAGCAAACCAATCCGGACAGAAGCGTCCGCCCACGCCCGGGAGTCGTCATATCTTGATGCTAGAAAAAAGATTTATTTGTTTCTGTTCTCTTGCTTGATGATTCCTTTTATTTTTTTAAGTTCTTTTTCTTTATTGCTTTCCTATTCTTCAATTTATTTTCCCTTTTATACTTAGTTTATTCTTTATTTATTGTTTCTCTTTCAACGTGCCCATTTAGGTTTGTCATGAGTTAAATTTTTTGTTCTACATTTGGCCATCAATATAAAAAGTTATAGACTGACCCCAGAGTTTATATCACTATGAAAAATAATTTTGTTATGCATAATTGTTTAATTCAAGATAATATACTTTTATTATATATATATTGCTGGTTAGAGTTAAAAAGATTTGACTTAGAAGAATCTTTGGTGGACTTATAGATATTTATAAGTATAATATAGCATGCCAAATACATAGACTGTACTTGGAGAACTCCTTAGTGTTCATTGGTTCATGGCTGTACTGTATAACAAATTAACCATCCTGTCATTCTATGAAGCATAGATTTGCCTTGTACATAACTAATCAATCCTTCTGTGTAACTGATGTGACAGACGAGTCAATTTTGCTTAATTGCAGCGTACATATCCTTCAGAGGGCGATTTGGACCATCAGCTCGGGCGATAATCTCAACAACTTTGTAGGAAGACTCTGGACACAACAATGCTTCTACAGCTACTTCAGCAACCTGGCTCCGAGATATGGATCCCGAGTAAAGAGTGTCCTGAAAAATTTCAATAACAAAAATGCTATGCATAAACTATTGGTGGACAAAGAGTACTTTCCAGTAATGACAAGATGAGAAAACACTAAAACACACTTGAGGCCACTAAACATATTTGTATTCCTTAATCTGGATCGGATTAGTTTTATTGTACAATCCATTATTTCTAATATGCATACAAGATGAGCATTTTTCTTATAGAAGAGCTCCCTTCTGTAAAAGGGAAAAATGCATTCAGTCCAACTGTAGAAATTTGACCAATGTTAGTGTTTTGATAACGTGGATTGTACATATAAAAACGATATCGATTAACGCCAATTATACTACTTCCATAAAATGAAATGACATCCTATTGACTTCCAACAGTAAAAAGTTCTTTGGAATAGCATATCCTAGTTACATGGTTTTGCAAACCTCACCTTAAAGCCACATATGTTACAGGTTTTGCATATTGTGTTAGTGGAATGTAGCGTGAAGCCACAACTTAAATTCCACTGTCTCTTCTTTTGCAGGGGCATTTGATAGGGATTTAGATTCTCCTTATAGATGTTTCTCAGCTGAATCAAATCGCTTAGTAAGAATTGGTGAAACAATTTGGCTATCAATCCAGATTCACCCCAAAATGAACTAGAATCATTGCCAAACACCTATTTGGGTGATTCTCCTTCCTAGCTCAAAACGAAGAAACATTACCAGGTGTTCCCCGGAGAATCACTTCACCAAAAACAACGTTTGGTTCAGATTCTCCTGATTCCAGCAAGAATCGGAAACAATTCTTGCAACCAAATGGGGATCACCGTTGCTAAATTATGCAAATCCACCCTCTAATCCACCTAACTTAAAAACTATTATTGGTAATAGCATCAAGCAATAAGTTTAAGGCTTTTACCTCAGGTTCCATGACTATATTCCCTGTTGGGGGTTGATCTGTCAGCCCTCCAGGCCTTACAATAGTGTAATTTATTCCTGATTTCCTGATGTGATTCTCTGCCTCTAGCTTTGTAACCAGTGTTAAGCCAAGTAGATTGAGCACAATGTAGGCTGGATTCAGAAGTTGACCCATAGCAGCCCCATTTACTAAAATGGAGCTGATGAGTACAAATCTTGTTACGCCTGCCTTTCGGCATGCTTCAACCAGGTTCACTGTGCCAAAGTTGTCTACCTGCAATACCAAAATTTATCATGGCTGTTATTTGTGAAACAAAAGGAGTATCTATCCGCATTCAACCATTTGCCAGTGATATGATTGGATCCTTAAAGCTCTTATTTGCAAGGCCATGGACTGATTGTTCGTTAAATATACCAAATATATACAAACATTAAAAGTTACCAAACACTATGAGTAATTAATATAATTTGACAGACCCTCTACGCCACATCTTTTTAAACTTGCTTAAACAAATAGAAAACTGAACCAGTGGACCAAATCAGCTCAGTTACACAAAACATTGTTGGATTACCAGTATTACTTTAAGCCAGTCACCATATAGACAACCGTGGATGAAAAGACGGATTAGGGATGTCTACACTATGAATAGTACTCAATGCAATAACCAAGGTCTAGAAAACTAGCACTGAGGCAAAATTAGTGGGCACAGGTGAACTTAGATCATCTTATAAGTACCAAACATGAAACATGTTAAAATTGCCCCACAAAAGAAGACTGAGAGTTGTATGCTGCGTGAATTCAAACTTTAATTGAATTCTCAATGGCCCGCTGGCCTGGTTTTAGGAATTCAGGGGTCCAAATTAACTGTCCAGATATTGAACCAGATCCCACCAGGAACAGCAGAATGGTGATGTGGCAACCCTCGAATATAGCATTCTTTTTGGATTTTTTGAAGCAAATACTTTTCAGAATTGAGAATTTGATGCATACAATTTGCAAAGTAATAATCACATACTAACTACCCTATACTTCTACTTTTTTTTCACGAGCACGCTTGGATCGCGTGTATTTTATTAAGAGGGAAAGTGCCCTATGCTTCTGTCACTGTCGATGCTCCATCGACGACTCCGGTGACTACAACTGGAGAAGAGCCTGAAGAATCTGAAGATGATGAAACGGTGACGGGAAGCGTACTTCAGAAGGGCGACCGGGTGGCAAGAAGCAGGCGGCCCAACCCGCGTATGATCGGCCCAGAATAGGCGAAGTAGGAGTATCGGGCCTGCGTGGCCCAGAACGAGTGGCAGCCCCAACAAGGCCCCTCTATGTAACGGCTGAGTGAGGAGAGGAGAACTCGAACTTGGTCATCTACCTGAACCGTACCCAGAGGGTGACAGCAGCGGCGAGCGCGGCGGTGCCGGCGACTCGAGACCTTGCTCCACCAATTACTCAATATAGAAGTTATCTGTAGTCGTAATCAGTAGTAGTAAGGTTACAGTTTCTTTGAAATAAGAGATGGCAGCATAACCTGAACGTGTGAATAGCAACTTCAAACTAATTGGTTCAGAATAACTTGCTGCCAAGAATGCTGACCAACCTACATTTACCAAAGTTTCTACAGAATCTGAACAGTTTTGACAGGTACAAACATTTAAATCGGGGCATTCTGGCAAGAACATTCCCTACACTATTTCATAATTTTAGCCCTATAATAGCACCTGAAAGATCTAATCAAAGCAATGAACAAGAAAGAAGCATCAGTCACTCTGTACAAATTAACCAGATACAAACCTTCCACGGAGCAAAAGGGTCAATGGACCGCCGGAATCCCGTCGTGCATCGACGCCGCGCACCGCCTCCACCAGCTTGTCGACGCCCTCCGTAACGTCAGCCCTGACCTTCAGTCACTCAAAGAGTCAAAGGCCCAAATTCACAACACCACCCCACCAATTTAACGAGGGTGACAACAAGAAGCACGTCAGCTTAAACTCACGAGCTGAAGGTTGGGGTCCTGGGGCAGGCTGCCACGGGCGCTGCTCACATCCGTCGTGCCGGCGACGACGCCGAATCCCTTGGCCAGCAGCTTCTCCACAACGCGCTTGCCGGTGCGCCCCGTCGAGCCGGCCACGAAGACAGTCGTCGTCTTCTTCTCCTCGGTGTCCGGCGAGCTCGCAGATGCCTCGTTCATGGTGGAGGCCGCCCTGCAGCGGAAGAAGAGCTTTCTTGCGGCTGCTGGGACGGCGGAAGGCAGGTGCGGGCGCGCGGTGACGCCGCAGACAGCGCTGGCCATGAGTTTTTGGGTGGCGTGGGCGTGGCAGTGGCCAACTGAGCCGTGAACCGTGAGGGCGGAAGGCAGCACAGCACTTGCTCTCCCTCTGGCTACGCCTGGGCCATTCGCTTAATTCAGTTAGTTAAATCGTTCCATCGGTTATCAAAAATTTCGATTTTAACCAAATGTAAACTGAATTTGTTCTTAATAAATAACTAATAGCTGAACAAAATCAGTTTTGGTACTTTATACATGAAGATAATTCAATAATATAATGGTATTGAAAAGCACCTAAGAAAAACGCATCATATTATAACAAATGAAAAGAAACAACAACAACAAAGAATGCTTCTACCAAATAAAATATCATAGAAATACATTTAAAAATATAAATGCATATATTTTTAATGTTTAATATAAAGTCATACGAAACCAAATAAATTTATTAACCAAATAGAGCCAAAATCTTCAACAAAAAGATCACGAAAATTTTGGTTAACCAACTTTTTTGGTTAAAAGGTGAAATTTTGCCCATCCTAGCTCTAGGAAACATGCCAAAGTTCGCGCCTGCTTAGAGATGAAAAAGAAATTCACTCATCCCAACTTTTAGGGCATGTTTGTTTTCAGGTTTTTGCTGGTTTCTATCCGGCAGAAGCCAGAAGGTGAATCAAACAACCCAATTGTTGAATTGGCTTTTAAAAACCTAGAAAATAGCTTAAGAGGAAATAAACTAAAAGCTAAAAGGCACACTATGAGCATACTTTTATAACTTTTGGTATGATAAAAGCTAAAATTTTATTAAAAAAACTAGGAAAAAGCCATCAGCTAAAAGATAAAATCTAGAAAGCTAGCTTTTGATCCAAAAAGCTAAAAGTTGTAGCTCAAACAAATAGGCCATTGGTCCTCCAAGTATGGTCAAGAAAATTTTAAAACCATCTACATAAATAATCACAAGCATATGAAATCAAACATATATTAGTTTTTGAAGCAAAAAAGTTTGTGGCATACTAGTGATGCCCGCCAAACAATTGGGTTCTTAGCCATCGTCGCTACCCTAGGTCCCCCTCTTTGTGTTGTTTTGGCAATGTTGTCGATTGCAAGGAGAGGGGATTTGCCTCTTCGGACATCTAAGGTTAGTTTTTAGTTAAGAGTTTGGCTCACATGGTCCCTTTCCCCGCCATCATGGTTGGTTCATGGCTTCCACCATTGTTGTCCGCATCGATGGTGGCAGCTTAGGGGTCTTCTTCGTCTTTGGTGGCTGCACCTCAAGAAAGTCATCCCATTCAGATCCTCTCCTCCGCTTCATCCCCATCTAGATGCAACCGTCTCCTCCGTTGTTCCAATTTCCATCATCCAAGATCCAGCCACTGGCGTTGCTGATCTGGGCATAGTTCTTAAGCACATAACCATAGAGTGCTTCGGATGGAGAACGACTAATTGTGAAGTGTGGGCTAGTGTTATACCAAAATTCCGCGAGTGCGAGCTGAAAGCATCTAGGCCCCTAGTTGGGTTTTGGTGATTAATGACAATACGTGATTATTGTGACTAACGTGTGTTTTGTAGAAGCAATTAAGTTAGGTCATGGTAATAGAGATCGATTGGGCAATCATGGTGGTCATGCCCCTACGATGGAAATCGTTTCGGTTTTAAAGGATGGATGACAAGGTTAAGGATAGACTAGTTCTAAGTGTCGTTTGGAGTTGAGGAGACACTTAGAGTAGTTTAGGACTTTATTTTTCCTTTGGCCGTACTATTAAGGAGGGTATGGACGGGTAGCTTGACCTAGGTGAGTCTAGTGAGTTAGGTGTGGTGCACACTTACTAAATCTAGCACTAGGTAGCTCCAAAATAGCCCTTAGATCCAATGGAGCAAACTTCATTCACGTATGATCGAGAGTTGGAAGTGAATGGAGGGTCAAATACTGACCGGACGCTGGCGCAGAGTCTGGTCAGTTCATTTGACCAAAGTGTTTTCGTCTGGTGTGACCGGACGCTGAGAGGTGAAGTGATCGGACGCTGAGGGCCAGCGTCCGGTCGACTCCTGTAAGGTTCCAGAGAGGGAAAATCATGACCGGACGTGTCCGGTCAGTGCTGACTGGATGCTGTCCTGCGTCTGGTCACACTTTAAACACTGAAGTTCAGGGTGAACTGACCAGAGAGTCCGGTCAACATGACCGGAGCGTCCGATCACCCCGGAGAGGCACATAACAGTTCGTTTTTCAGCCGGTGTTATAAATACTCCCTCCACTTGTGTGTGGGGGTACTTTTGCTCATTCCAATAGCTGAGAAACACCTTTGAGAGTGCCAAGAAGAGCAAGGTCCTAGTGAGGTGATTGAGATTTGAGAATCCCAAAGAGAGCCCTCATTAGTGAGATCAAGAGTAGCAAAGTGTGCATCCACCCTTCTCATTAGGCTTGTCATGGTCAAGTGAGAGTTCGTGCTTGTTACTCTTGGTGATCGCCATCACCTAGACGGCTTGGTGGTGATTGGAAGCTTGGTGATCATCCGGCGGTGCTTGTGGATGACCCAACTCAAGTTATGAGCGGTTGTGGGTGATTCACCGCGACGGAGTGTCGAAGAATCAACCCGTAGAGAGCACTTGATCCTTGCGCGGATCAAGGGGGAGCTACACCCTTGTGTGGGTACTCCAACGAGGACTAGTGGGGAGTGGTGACTCTCTGATACCTCGGCAAAACATCGCCGTGTTCCTCCTTCTCTCTTTACTTTGAGCATTTACTTTGAGCAATTCAACTCTTGTCATTTACATTCATAGAATTGCCATGCTAGAGTAGGATTGGAACATAGGTTGCTAAACTTTTGTGCGTTAGATCAATAGAAACACTTTCTAGGCACAAGGGGTTAATTGGGCTAACCGTAGGGTTTAATTATTGCAAAGAAATTTAGAATTAGCCCAATTCACCCCCCTCTTGGGCATCTTGATCCTTTCAATTAGTATCGGAGCCTCGTGCTCACGTATTTAGGCTTAACCGCCTAGAGAAAGATGTCTCATGGGGATGGACCTCCTCCTATCTTTGAGGGGATGATTTTCTTATTGGAAAATCCGCATGGAGGCATACTTAGAGGCTCTAGATGTTGGAATACTTAGAGCCGCCTCACAAGGCTTTCCAAAACCTAAGGATGCTACACACCTACAAGGCGATGAGGTGAATTATGAAAAATGGAATGCAAAGGCTCGAAACACCATCTTTAGAGGCCTTTGCAAAGATGTGTTCAACCGGGTGAGGAACCACAAAGACGCCCATGCACTATAGTCGAACGTTTGTGCGCTCCATGAGGGAACAAAGAGTGAGTGTGAGGAACTCTATCATCTTGTCATGAAAAAGCTTAACTATTTTGAAATGCTTCCTAAAGAATGTGCTAATGAAATGTACTCACGCTTGAATGTTCTTGTAGAGGAAGTCAATGGGCTTGGACTCACTCAAATGCAACCATCCGATGTTGTAAGAAAGATTTTGAGTGTCCTCCCCATTGACAAATATGGACATATTGTGACCGTGCTTCATCAAGGTGATCTTTCCACCGCTACACCGACACAAATCTTGGGAAAGATCAATGCTCATGAGATGTACATGCACATCACACCACAAGATGGCTCATCCTCTACTAAGAAGAAAGACAAGGACTTAGCATTCAAAGCTAGTCAAGAGAAGGGCAAAGCAAGGCTTGAGTATGAGAGCTCAAGTGATGATCAAGTTGATGATGCAAGCCTTGCTCTCATGGTGAAAAGAACCACCAAGATGCTAAAGAAGCTCAACAAGAGTGGCATCAAGTTTGATGGCAAGAAGAAGAAGTTCTTCATAAGCTCTAGAAGGAAGCCAATCTCTAAAATGGATTGCTACAATTGTGGAGAACTTGGTCATCTAGCACACCAATGCACCAAGCCCAAGAAAGACAAGTACAAGAACAAGTACAAGGGCAAGAAAGATGACTCAAGTAATGCAGAAGAAGATGAGAAGAAGAAAAACAAGCCATACAAGAAGAGAGATGGCAAGAAGAAGGACTTCCACAAGAAGAAGAAGAGTGGAAAGGCATACATCGTTGGTGATTGGCTCACGGACATTGATTCATCAAGTTGCTCATTCGATGATGATAGTGATAATGAGAAGGTAGCCGCCATTGTGATTGGCTCCTCATCATCTTCACCAACACCACCGCTATCATCCTCTATGCACCTATGCCTTATGGCTAAGGGTGAACGAAAGGTATCAAATGATGATGATAGTAGTAGTGATGATCATGCTAACAATGATGATTGTGATAGTGATAGTGATGATGATGAATTTGAATCACCCTCATATGATGAACTTGTCAAATTGCTAAACAAATATACTAGGATCATAAGAAAGACTAGAGCTAAGAATGACAAGCTAGAAGCTAAGAATGATTCTCTTTTAGCTAAATGTGATATAGTGGAAAAGGCTAATGTTGAGCTTAGAGAAGCAAATGATGCTATATCATCCAAACTCAAGGAGCTCAAATCTTCTAAGAAAGAGCTTAAAGAAAAACATGATAAACTTGAGTGGGTGCATAAAGAGCTCATCACTAGCCAGAAAAAGCTAAAAGAAGAATATACTACTCTTAAGATTAATCATGATAATCTTGTCATTGCTCAAGAATTTCTATCCAATGAGCCACATGATGCTACTAACAATGTTGTTAAGATTGATATAGCTACATCATGTGATGATTTGATCATTGAGAGCATTGAGCAAAGTTCTAGTAGCAAGGGCAAGCAAGTGGTTGAGGCCGATGATTATGATGAGTTTGTAAAGCTCAAGAATGACAATGAAAAGCTCAAGAAAGATCTTGAAGAGATCAAAAGCCACAACACTATTGTGCTAGAAACTCTTGATCATGATGGTGATTTGATTCTTGAAAATGAGAAGCTCAAACAAGAGAACAAGAAGCTCAAGGAAGAGAAGAATAATGATGCTCTCAAGGAAGAGAACAAGAAGCTCAAGTTGGAGAAAGAGCACCTCAAGATTGGATTGAGCAAGTTCA